AAAAAAAAAAGTAAGCTTTGAAATATTTATTGTCTGTGTAGCAACTTAGTTAAATGTTTACTAATAATAACATACATTTACCATATTTTTCAGAGTTTCAGGTATATAATCAATTTCTTGTAATATATATTATTTTCCATTCTAATGTTATTCGGATTTCATTTCCCTATCTTCTTTACTAACAAAATAAATAGTAATGGAAATGGGGATGTGTGGCATCCTGAAGTTTGTTTTAAAAAGTTTCTCATAATACCTGAGGGACTAGGCAGTTTATGTGCATATTTCTAGCTCTTCTCCCTGTCAGTTCTCTGCTAGTATTACTCAGTAACCCTAATAAACCTATAGGAGAGGCTGCGAGGTATCTAGGGTATACCGAGAGAGAAGAATTCTCTATGGGGAAAGCAGGGTCATGGGTCCACTGTCCTTTGGTACTGTTAAAGAGTTGAGGGTCCGAAAACCCAATAGATGAGGGTAAACAGGGGCAAATATATGGTGATGAAAGGAGAAGTGACTCTGGGTGATGAATACACAATGTGATATATAGATGATGTATTACAGAATTATACACTTGAAACCTATGTAATTTTACTGACTTGTCACTCCAATGAATTTTAATTGGAAAAAAAAAAGAAATGCTTTTCATTAAATACAGTATTTACTTTAATATAAAAAAAAGAGTTGAGGGTCAAAAACTAGAAAGGTGATGGAGGACAACAAAGGAAATAAAGAAAAACCTTTTGCTGATGAAAGTTTTGAGTGTCTCCAGGTTGATTTTCATAGTTATGTTTATCTAATTTGGTTATTTCCATGTTAAAAAATACACAGAATGTAATTCTAGTTGGAATCCCAAAGTTTACATCAAGTAAATATATAAAAATAGCCAAGATTTTGGGGGGGGGTGTAGAAATGATGAGAGAACTGCTCAAGAAGATATTAAAATGTACTCTAGGCCACTATTATTAAAGCAGTGTGTTTCTGGGACAGGATAAATAGGCACATGCAGAAACAGATCATAATAAGGTACTATTTCTGTGTCATAGGAAGAAGACAGTATCATGACACAGTCACCTGTGGTTGGACTACCTGGCATCTGTTCCCTCTTCTTTTGGAGACAGTTCCGAAAATTTCCTGTGGAACATGATCCCTCTCCTACTCTCACTCATGTAGCTGACAGGGAATTAATTCCATGCCCATCACAGGTATAAATCCAAACTACAAAACCATTTCCTGGCTGGAAAAGCCCATCAGCACCTCTGTATGCACCTCACTCCCACCAGCACAGATCCAGGAACAGACACGTGACTTGATTAATCCAGGCCAACAATCGAAGCTGCTCTTTACTTGGGAAAAGAAAGTTGCTCTTCAGGTAAGCTTCAGAAAGAGACTCACTTCCTCTGAGTAAGTATGAAGAAGTAAAGATTAAAACTTTCAGTCATCATGTGACCATGAGGGAATTATCTGGAACTGGGATGGAACAACACACAGGACAGACAGAGGAAGACCTAGGTAAGGATTACAGTGAAAAATTCAACACTCAAAAAGGCAGAACTGAGAAAAGAGGAAAACAGCCATTTTTTTTTTAGCAGTATTACTTTTGCCACTGTAACAGGCCTTGTCTTAAGCAAATCTTACCTTTGGAATTTTTTGGAAGTTTTACCGTATTTGCCGGCATATAAGACGACTGGGTGTATAAGACGACCCCCTAACATTTCCACTCAAAATACAGAGTTTGTTATATACTCGCCGTATAAGACTACCCCCTCTTCCGCACACCTTCC